TATAGATATATATATATATATTATTTGTGTCGTTCCTGCTCTTGTTTGATAGGGTTTCTGGTGGAGGCGCCTGGTCTTCTAAAGGCTGTGAGCTGGTCTTCAGAAACTCGACTCATATCAGCTGCCAGTGCAACCACATGACCAGCTTTGCTGTCCTCATGGACATCTCCAAACGAGAGGTAAGGCACAGCCAGCTATTTTGGTTAATATGTTTTTTTTGCTAGTATACAGCCAGCTAGCTAGTTTTTGAACTCTGTCATCTTGTCCATAGCATGGTGATGTTCTTCCTCTGAAAGTGGTGACCTATACGACAGTGTCCGCCTCTCTGGTGGCCCTCCTCATCACCTTCCTCCTGCTGGCCATTCTTCGCAAGCTGCACTCCAACCTACACAGCATCCACAAGAACCTGGTGGCCGCCATCTTTCTCTCTGAGCTCATCTTCCTCACTGGCATCAATCAGACTGACAGTCCGGTGAGCAGTCTGGAGAGTATTTAGATTATAATAACAACCACATTGTTTTATTTTATTTATCTTAGACGATTCTATGTGATACTAAACCTTTCTGTTTCTTATCTGATTTGTAGTTTGTATGTACTGTTGTGGCCATTCTGCTACATTATTCGTACATGTGCGCATTTGCCTGGATGTTTGTGGAGGGTCTGCACATCTATCGCATGCTGACCGAGATGCGTAACATCAACCAGGGCCACATGCGCTTCTACTACGCCATCGGCTGGGGGATTCCTGCTATTATCACTGGTACTGTATGATACTCAGTCGCTCACTAACTCAGGTCATAGTTTGATCTAGAGGACACGTTTACCTGGCTATATTTTTAAGCTGTTATTTGTCAAATAAATAGTTAACATGTTTTGTATACATTATATGTGTTGTAGTCCTGTCAAATAGATTAATCACAATTAATCGCATCCAAAATAAAAGTTTGTGTTTACATAATATATATGTGTGTGTGTGTGTGTGTGTATGTGTGTGTGTGTGTGTATATTTATATGCATATACAATATATACATGTATACTGTATATTGAAGAAATATATGAAGGGTTCATTTGCAAAAACAGATAACTATTTAGCAATTTTCAAAAGTCATGTTTTTTCATTGTGCATTCCAATTAATCTCAATCAAACTGCAGTTGGGTTATTTTGATTAGGTTAAAAAATAACTAAAGTATACAGCTAACTAACTCAATAAAACACAATAAAAACATGATAACATAATAAAAACATGATTTTTGAATTTGAGTTATCTGTTTTTGCAAATAAACTCGTCATATGTAATTTATATTTATTTATATATATAAATATTTCTTAAATATATTGTGCATGTGTGTGTATTTATATATGCATATAATATGCACAGTACACAAACATATATTATGTAAACATAAATTTTTATTTTGGATGCGATTAATCATGATTAATCGATTTGAAAGCACTATCATTCAAAAGTTTGGGGTCGGTAAGATTAATTTAAGAAATTAATACTTTTTATTCAGCAGCGGTGCATTAAATTACTCAAAAGTGACAGTAAAGACTTTTATAATGTTACGAAAGATTTTTATTTAAAATGCTGAACTTTTGAACTTTGCGTTCATCAAAGGATCCTGAAAAAATGCATCATGATTTTTCACAAATATGTGCAGAAAATCAGCATATTAGAATGATTTCTGAAGGATCATGTGACACTGAAGACTGGAGTAATGATGCTGTAAATTCAGCTCTGCATCATAGAAATAAATTACATTTTAGAATATATTAATAGAAAAGATTTATATTTAATTTAAAATTTATAGAGTTATATTAAATTGTAATTAAATTGCTGTTTTACTGTCAAATAAATGTAGCCTTGGTGAACATAAGAGACTTCTTTCTAAAACATAAAAACATCCTAGCAACTCCAACTTTTGAATGGTAAAGTACAGTAAATTACTGACTGAATTAATGACATTTTTTCAAAATACTTAATCAAAATTCACTGAAAAATTATCTTGTTTGAAAATCTACCAGCATACTCATCAGTGAAAATACATTTTAGCATTTCTCTCTCTCTCTCTCTCTTTCTCTCTCTATATATACACATATACACACATATATATATACACACACACACACAATTAAAAACCACCCAAACCCCTTATAAATCTTGATCGTGCATTGTTGCTGATTGATTGTCTTTTCTCAGGCCTGGCTGTGGGTTTGGATCCTCAGGGTTATGGAAACCCTGACTTCTGCTGGCTCTCTGTTTATGACACTCTTATCTGGAGCATCACAGGACCAATCTCCATAGTAGTGCTGGTCAGTTTGTGTATTTTAATCTTATTTAACACCGTGGAAGCACTGCTTTCCTTTCCATCTCCCAACTGATGTATTTGGTTTTGAGTAAATAATGGAAAATAAACCTCTTTGTTTAACAGATAAATACAGTCCTAATTGTGCTGGCAGCTAAAGCCTCGTGTGGACGGCGCCAGCGAACGGAAAAGTCAGGAGCAATGTAAGTTCAGTGAGAAAGCTTAAAGGTCAAACTGAACAATAATAAGCAGGTAAAAGCTCATCTTTTTCATCATTCTCATTTGCTCTTGTGCAGCTCTGCTCTTCGAGTGGCCTTCCTCCTCCTGTTGCTCATCAGCGCCACCTGGCTGCTGGGTCTAATGGCAGTCAACAGTGATGTGTTGTCCTTCCACTACCTCTTTGCCATCCTCAGCTGCTTGCAGGTACATACAGTATGGTCATGTGCTGTGTAAATAATGTTCACTGTTTGTCAGAACAGAAATTTGAGATGGCTTGCCTATATTTCTAAAATTACTTATATTTAAAATGTTAGTAAATACATTATATATATATTTTTTTTACTTTTTATTTTACCTTTCATTTAACATATCTCTTTATTTACTTCACTATTTTCTTTCCGTATTGTTTATTTTATTAGCAACAATAACACACATGCATATGTTGACAATGTATGCAATTTGCAATTGTGTAAGTAAAGTGTAGGTAAATTACTTGATTGTATTTCATTTTACATTTTTATATTTTTCTTATTTTTTTTACCCCATCTTATTTTATCTTTTGTTTTATCTCTTTATTTTCTCTTTATTTTCTGTGTTGTTTTTATTTAAAATAAAATAATATAATTGTAAAAAATAACAAAAATATAAAAATGTAAAATTAAATACAATCCAGTCAAGTTAGAGTCAACAATGCTGTATCAATACAATTGTCAGCATATATAGTAATAAAAAAGATAATAATAATTATTGTTGTTGTTGCTAATAAGCAAACAAAACAGAAAGAGAATAGGCCTAGTGAAGTAAAAATATGTGAAATGAAAGTTAAAATTAAAAAAAAAAGATTAGGTAAAAATATTAATCAAAATATAAACATGGATAATTAAACACAATGCAATGGGAATTACTTAATGTGTTTTATATAAACCATATGGGATTGGATTGCTCTCTTTAACAAACCGTTTTGCTTGTGTATTATGACAAATGTGTATGTATTTAATTATTCAGTAATGATGTGTATTTTTTTCATTTCAGGGCATTTGCATCTTCTTTTCCCACTGTATTCTCAACAAAGACGTGAGGAGGAACCTTAAAGGTGTCTTTACAGGGAAGAAAGTACCAGCTGAAGATCCTAGTACAACACGGGCTACCTTACTCACAGTGAGTCTGACACATTTTCAGTTAACAAAATAAATAAGTTAATTAAAAATGAAAAATTCATGTATAGGCCCAATGTATTTACTGACTACACACTAACAGTGAGTCTCTTCATCTGTCATCCCAGCGTTCTCTGAATGGTGACGTCTACACGGAGGATGGAGGTCTGTACCGGACCACCATTGGAGAGTCCACTGTTTCTCTAGAGAGCTCTGTTAGATCAGGCAAGAGTCACGGCAGCAGCTACCTTGTTTCCACACTCAGGTAATGCACCAGGAGTGAATTACGATTTGAGTTATTTTATATTGAATCCTACAACTGACCAATCAGAATCAAGTATTTCTTAAACATCCGTGTAATAAAACAATGTTTCATTTGAAATGCTAATGTAAAATATCTCCATACCTCCTCGTTAACCTCTTAAAATGAGAATCGTGTATCATTTGAACTTCCCCAGACCTTGATTTTTCTCTCATATATTAATGGTCTAAATATATCTGGAATTATGAACTATTAGGTTAGGCAGTATTTGCACTAACCTATTTGCACCAATTATTAGCTGTTATATTTTGCGTAAACGTCTCAAAGGGGCATTCGGTTTTTAGGTCACTCCACTGAATATCTTTACTTGAGACTAAGTTCATTATGACTATCAATGGGCGCACTTTAGCCATATTTATGATTTATATTTTTTACCATAACCACTGACAGAGCCCTACAGTATTGTAATTCACAGCACAGTGTCATCTGTTACATGGATCTTATATTGGATCCAATGTGTATTGCTTCACATGTTTGATCTCTCAGACACACTTCTAACTGCAAAGCGTAGCGGTAAAGCATATGCCATTTACAGAGAAAAAGTTATTAACTAATCAGAGAAGAAATTCTGGTTGTCATATATGTAATATTGCTATATTGGCAGCTGCATTTGTGAACTTTTCACATGCAACTTACTGTCACTGAATAACTTTAGTGTGACTCCACTTAATGTAATTATGATTATGTAATAATGTATAGATTTGATGTTGTTTTCACTCAGGGAGAAGAAACGCAGCATATCGTCTAATGGTGGAAATGTGGGGCATGACGAAGGAGACTCGTCGCTTTTCTTCCACAAGAGTAAAAAGGCAGAAGGTGAGGACAGAAATAACCCTTAGGAGCATTATGCAACTATTTTTAAGACCATTGAAGGCTCAGCTGGTGTCATGACTTCTGAATAATCATTTTCTGTTATTTTCAGACTCGGATTCGGACAGTGAGCTCTCAGTGGATGAACACAGCAGCTCCTACGCTTCCTCCCACTCCTCGGACAGCGAGGACGAGGCCAGGCACTCCAGGACCAAATGGAATAACGAGAGAACGCCCATCCATAGCACTCCGAAAGGTGCCTGCAGCCTCTTCTGTGAACTCTGACCTGCTCTTTTACGTGTTTTATTCATTTTATTTTTATTTAAACTTGGATTTTTGATAACTTTACTCATGTTGTTCTGCAGTTGATGCTGTGTCCGGTCAAGGGAAGCCATACTGGCCGCAGGAGCCGCCCACAGCCAGTGAAAGTGAGGAGCCGGGTGGTCCAGAGAAACTGCGGGTGGAAATGAAAGTGAATGTGGAGCTTCATCAAGGGAATAAATTAAATCACAATGGAGATGTGTCTCAAAGTGAGAGTTCACCCAGTCAGCCAAACAGCAACCAGTTACCCAGAAGAGGTGAGCGACAACTACTTAAACGAAATAAAAATTACTACTTAAAAACAAAAACTATAGGGAAAAACAATTAAGTGAATGAAACCATTTTAGTACTTGAAAAATCCATTTTCTTCCTGCATGCATATTTTATATATGTTAGTAATTAATAATAGTATAATAAAATTTTATAATTTATTAGATAATATTTATCTACATTTATATATATATATATATATATATATATATATGTATATATTCTGTATTATATTATATTGTATTAAAATATTCTGTATAATGTTATATTGTATTATATTAGTACTTTCATGAGGCATTTAAAAGAACAAGATCACTGATATTAAAAGAATATTTAATAATAATAAATACAATTTAAAAAATTGATCAAATCAAATTGATTTGTGCCTATTCATGAATTTTATTACAAAAATAAACTATTTATTTAATTAGAATATATTATATATTTTAAATAATATAATTGTGTGTGTATATATATATATATATATATATATAATTAAAATATTATATTATACTATCATTTCCCTTTTATTAGGCATTTTAAAGAACAAGATCACATATCCACCCCCACTGACGGACAAGAACATGAAGAACCGCTTGAGGGAGAAGCTCAGTGACTACAACCCACCCCAGATCCCCCGAAAGACTCCATCGGTGGGGTCAAACGAGGGGGTTCGCTCAGGAACCGAGGCCAACAGCATCATCATTGAACCACCTCCATTACCACCTCAGTCTGCACTGAACGGGATGACCGTAGAGCTGGGCACGAGCCCCGTCACCCTGGCGGACAAAGACTTTGATTCGGAGTGAGTTGGAGGTCAAATGCTGATCATTAGGATTTATTTGGTCACTTTCTGATTGTAACACCTCTCTTTCTTTCTCTTGTTAGTGGCAGCAATGAAACATCAATCTGAGTCTTCAACTTGAAGGATGCTGAATGAACTGGAGCGGGTTTGAACCAGTTTCTGTGTCCCCACTATTATTAAAGCACAACATTGTCCTGCTCTGAAATTGTTTTTAGTATTTATAAAGGTTCATTTAATACAAAAGGAAGCCGGGCGCTAGCTATCCCAGCATTCCAAAGTGCTACATTGTCCAAGTTGAGCAGAAAAGTTTTCTGACATCGAAAAGGATAAAGCTGATCTGGAGTTACAGCAAAAGACTTTGATATTATTTAGCATTTGTACAGTTTATTCCAGAATTCATCAGTCATAAACAGATGACTTATGATGTGTAAGTAATGTTTATAGTGACATTTTGTATTTTAGATGTGTAATGGGTTATCTGTAAAATTGTAAATTAGGATTTCACTGTGATGCCAATATTGAATATTTATGTTTACTGTGGTATTTTTTACAGCACTGTTTTGAATGTTTATATTGTTTTTTTTTTATACTGTGCATTTTTAAGCAGATGTAGCTTAATACGTCGTTTTATTTTTTGCCCCAAATGTCTGAATATTCTTTCCCCCAGTTATGTTTCAGATGAATTATTAGGATGAAGATGACCATCATACACACTGTCTGTCATTGGGTTCAATGGTCAGGTGTGTTTTACAGTGATTACCTCTTACAGTATTTTACAGCTTATGTTCAGCATGCCTTAAAGTCTCTGCCAGTGCTGTACATAGAAAAACAGTGTTTTGTTTGCTCTGCATCTAAATTACCAACAAAGAATCAAAAGATTCCTAAAGTGCCTGTCGACTATTTTATAGCTCTGCCAAACCTCTT